AGGGAGGAGCAAACAGGCCAGATCATAAACTGGTCGTAATGTTTTATATACATATCTGAAAAAACGTACAGCCCTTAGTAAAATTTTGGTCCTCCTGTTTGTAATGTAATAATATAATATATATAAAATTTCAGAAAAGCAATCGGAGCAAACATTTTAAAATCCCAAAGTCAATATGCAAGGTGAATATGATGAACTGGAAACGCAACAATGAGAAACACAGTATAGTATAGTGGAGGCAGTGTCATGCTTTGGGCATACTATTCTACAGCACAAAAAGAAAAGCTGGTCAGAGCTAATGAAAAGATGAATGGAGGTAAACCCAGGACAATCCTGCGAAAGAAAAACTATAAGAGGCTGTTAAAGACCTGAGGTAGGGGGTTACCTTCCAGCAAGAGCAACACCCTAAACATACAGACAGAGCTACAATCAAACAGATTATTACAAAGATTATGTCATGCTTTAGAATGGTTAAGTCAAGGTCCAGACCTCAATCCAGCTGACACTTTGGCAGCTAGAGTTAGATAGATACATCAGCTGCCTAACATTTCTGCCCAGCATTAACATTTCTTCCTTGTATTGCTGTCTGTCGATATACGCATGCATTGGCCGAATTATTATTGCAGTGGGGCGTGCACTCTAGGGGTGACACACTGTAACACAAGAGGGGCATAGTGTCAGGTTGGGTGGAGGTTTGTAGTGGACCCAAATGCAGACGGAAGCTGAGGGGGTTTCTTGCAGATTTAATAAGGAGTTGTGGCAAAAGAAGCATAAATCCAGAAAAAGCTATTGAAGAAACACATGAATAAGAACAAAGGGGAACACATATGTTAGAGAGGGAATGAAGAGAATCCAGCACAGCACAGTAACTGCAGAGGAGGAGTATAAATGCCAAACAGAACAAAGAATGGAGTAATCAACTGATTGGGAGCAGGTGTGGACAGAAGGATCTAGAAAAGAGTTAGTGGAAGGAGACTGACACAAGGGGGCAACAGAGAGTAAACAAGAAATACATAAGAACTCAAATACAACCAGAAAACAACTAGAATGACACAAAATGGAAATAAAACCAATGACCTTGAAAACGCAGAATGACATAGAATAAAGTGTAACTAAAAACTCACAAATAGAACCAAATAAGAGAATCATGACACATAGTAGAAATGAAATCAATAAATGAACTAGTTTGACAGTTTTCTTTAACTGATAGCAATGTTACATTCTGTCACATGGTAGAATATACAGCTAAACCTAAATAAGTGTACTTTAAAGGTGGTTATTTTAGAAATTGTGAGTAAATTGCAACTTACTTTATTGCAGTATTTAATTTAATGCGGTTGACATTGCTTTAAGTGTTTGAAAGGTTGGCGCTGGTTTAGATATTGAGGCGGTGCAAAACCTCAATACCCTTTCAACTAAAGAGGTGCCCAGTAAAAAAGGTTTGGCTACATTCAGCAGCCATGCATTGAGATAAAGTCAAAGTATTACGCTTGTGTCCAGAGAATAGTTGCTAGTGAAAATCCTTAAAAAAAGTATATGTTCTCCATTTCCATTACAATGACTTTCTGAAAATTTTTGGTTTATTATTTATTTAGGGTGATAAATAACCCTAATTGCCCCCTGATGGTGGTCAGAAGGCCCGGTGGTGCCTGTATACAGCAGATTCGCTTTTGGCAGTGAGCCACAGGGCAGCTGTGGCTACAAGTAACTTGCCACCATCTTTGTGTGAGTGAATGCTGTGTAAAGTGCTTTGGTCAAGTCTCCCCACTTAAAAAAAAGTGAAATATACGTCAAGGTCACTATTATGTTTTGGTATATCAAAAACAATCTTAATGAAAACATTGAGAAAGGCATCTTCCTCAATGTCCCCATGTGGATAGGCATCTTTTTTGGGAGCTAAATTGAAAAATATGGGATTACCACAAAAGAAAAAACAAATGAGAGGGAAGAAGGTAAATAAAGACCAAAAATGAGAAAGTGAGAGAGGAGGGCAGCAGCGTCTCCAATTCCCCAGGTAAAAACACACCTGACATGCCCATACAAACCTTTGGGTAAACAGATACACAGGCTTGTCTAGGTGTGAGTGTTTGAGCGCGACACCAGCAAAGAAGAAAGTGAACCTGAATGTGTTTCTACATGTTGAATAAAATAAAATACCGCGACTTTTGAGGCTGCATTCTTCTGCGCCTCTATGCTGGTGGTAATGACTGATGGCTTTAAAGCATCTGTAGTATAGGGACATCATAAATGTGTGTGTGACCAGGGTTAAATTTCAAACAGCAAACAGGTCAATTTTTCCAAACATGTCAGCACAGGGAGACACACCGATCTGCCCTAAGACACAGAAACGAGCTTCAGGGCAACACCTCTATTTGTTATCAGTAGTGTTTAAGTTCTTTCGTTGCTAGTATGTATATCTCATACAGAGGTTACTGCAAACATTCAGACCCTTTAGGGCAGAATGTTAGATAAGCATGATAGATGGCAGGAAACAATAAATTATTAGAAGAAATTTCGGTTTCTGACGCAGCATGTTACAGGAAGTGACACAACATCCAGAAACAAGGCTGATTGCATTCGCTCATGCAGTTACCCATAACATGGGGAGGACTGTTAAGCATCAGTGCAGAATGACATATTTTTTACAAGGGGCCAGTGTGACACAAGAATGAACCATGAATGAGTAACTGCACATTCATCAACTAAAGTAGCATATTTCAACAAGAGGAGATCAAAGGTCCAGGAGGAAAAGTCAGTCATCACTTACATCCCATACATTCCTAAACTTCCTGGAAGGATCCCCCAGGTGTTACCAGGCCAGAGGGGATACTTAGTCCCAATAATGAGCTTTGGGTCTGCTTTACTGTCTCCGCCCTCCTGGATGCCTATCACTGTAATTTTACTGACATTACCAGCATCCCTTCTCCAAGCACCCCTGATTAGAAGGAGTTTGGTAACAGTGTGGAGGAGGCTCATACACAATGTCTTTCATTTACCATAGCTATTTAACTGACTCTGATATTCAAAATTGGTTGAAGGGCCAAAACATTTTAATGTGTAAGCAGGGCTCGATGTTAACCATCGCCCAATCGCCCTGGGCAAGTAGTTTTTATTATCGGGAGAGTACAAATTTCATTGCATTTGCCCGCCGGGCAAGAAAGTTTTTAACCTGTCAAGTTTTTTTTTAGATCCTTAACATTACAATTAATATTTTCCAAGCACACAACAGTATAAAGCAAAGTTTAGTTTGAAAAGAATGTGCAGGAAGGATTGAAAAGCATGTTAACACGGTAATGTAGGCTTGAGTTCATTATCTGACGCATGCATATACACACCAGGAACCTGTAAACTTAAAAAATACTGACTTACAAAAAACATAAAAAAAAACATGTTTCATTGATATATATATATATATATATATATATATATATATACAAAAATGAATATTAGGAACTATATTTATCTAACATTATACTGGGCAAGTAAAAATGGTTTCTGAGCAAATGAAATGTGAAAGTAAAAATCCTTAACGTCAACCCCTTGTGTAAGGATACAATAAGAGAGGTTAAAAAGATTTAATGTTTGAAAAATTTTAATATTTTCTACCAATCCACTCCTTTTTGCTCTTAGATGTCAACACGTAACAGATAAACTAGCTCCCTGTTTAGCACCAACCGGCTGCAAACATGTAGTGTGTTATATTT